CTGGGTGTCGCCGGCGCGGGGGCTGCGCTCGGCCGCCCGCTGTCGGGGCACTGCCGCAGCAGAGCGGGTGAACGTGGTGAAGGCACCGGATCAACTGGTCGGAAGCTTCTCCCGCTGTCGCTTTCTGTCCTCTTCGCTCAGCCCTTCCTCGTCTTGCAGCGAGCGTTGGCACTGAAGGTATTGATGTTGCTCGGTGGAAACTGAGAGCAGGCGTGGGAACGGTGTTGTTTTTGCGCTATGGTTTTGATTCAGAGGAGGATTCAATTTGAATATAGGTAGCGATGGGGAGTAAAAGTACATCGGAGATAAAAACTTTGTTCAAGCGGTCTCGATCATAATGTGATCATAACACATCAGGAAGATTCATAACAAACTGTGAAATGAAGTCAAAATTCTTTTTTGTGACTTTAGGAGCTAGTTGGCAGGTAGAGTAATTCTTGGCTTGTTTGCAAGTGTAACACTAACTTTTCCTCTTTATGCTACGTTGGAAGCGTGAGAAAAGGTAGGATTATTAAACACAAAATGCAAAGTGGGTTTGTTTCAAACAGCAGTGCAGGAGAACCTACAGCTGGGGCTTTGGAATTAACAAAGTTTACGAATGCTTTGGAGCATAGTAAGTTTATGAAGAAACCCAGCAGCATAAACACAGGAGGGACAGTCCAGACAGAGCTTGAGCAGAGGTGGAAAGAGATGTTGGAAGGAAGATAAGGGCTAAAGAAGAGAACTGATCTGACAGTAACACTTAACTGAAGCAGCATCGCTGTTTAAGAACTATTGCTATGGAAATTAGTTCAGGAGAAGTTCCAGGTCAGGCTGAGGGTCGAGCAATGGCAGAGTTGGTCAAAAATTTTCAGGAGAAAGAAGGTTTCTTTGAAAAATGCTTATTTGTCAGACTAAGATGTTTTCTTTGAAACCTCTCAGGTCTGATGAATTTTTGCTGATGCAGAGTTCTGCTAAGTCTGCCTTTGGACCAGGATTTCTGGAAACATCAAGGATCCTGACTCAAGGATGTGTCCTAGGCACCCAGGATAATACCTGCTGAGGGGATGCTGGAAGCTGCTCAGCTGCGGCACAGACTGTTTGTTTGGCGCTAGAGTCCCCAGAGCGAGCCCTGTAGCTGCTCTGTGAAAGTGAGGCTTTCCTCAGGATTTTATTCTGCTACAGTTGCTGAAACTGATAAAACAACTGAAGAGTAAACAGCCGTCCTTTCACTGGGGACTTCGTGTAGTTTTTGGTTATGGTCTGATTTGAACTTAAATCAACGTCATAATTCATTGGTTATTCGGTTTCGTTTTTACTTGGTGTTCAGCTGGCCCTAGTCAGTAGTTTTGCTTACGGATGTAAACTAGTTGAAATAAGGGATTTTCTGTTTTGGGGTGTCAGATCTGAAGAAAGGCTGTAATGTTTTTCATACCTCGGTGTAGGTATACATGGTCAGAATTGCTGGAGGTCTCCAAATGAGGCAGTTACAATTCTAATGCTAGAAAATCCACTTGTTCCCTTACTGGTTTTGTCCAGTCTTAAGTGTCATGAGGATAGATTAATTTAGCAGGACAGGCATGTGCCTTTTGTAGTTATGCTTTCTATATTTGCAGGGGTGTGTGTGTGGTGAGTTCCCCTCCCCCCCCCCGTTATTGGTCTAACCTTTTGGACAAACAACTCTTGCATATTCAAGGATGAAGGGACTCAATCTTCCCAGCTGCTAGGGCTGTCACACATAGTCTGGGCAATGTGCCAAAGTCTCTTTTCTACTGGGCTGATTTCCTCATTGCTCTTTCAAGCACTAGTGTTCGTGGGGGAGGCAGATGGCTGCAGGAGTGTGGCACCTTCCAGTAGTAACGCTGCTCTAGGAAGGAGAGGTAGTCTCTTGTTATGAGGCCTAAATTGATTCTGCTGCCTAAGAAAAGGGAGCCTCCTGTTATGGGTCTGTCTTATGCTTTCAGAAGGAGTCAGCCCTAAGGTGACTGACTGATAGCCGACATTGTTTATTGAAGAATACAGGAAAAATTACCATTTGCTAGGAAAAATGAAAACTGAAGAGTACTCCTTTTTCTTTTAGTTAGTTAGTTTCATTGTGGGTCCCCTCCACCTCCAAATGTAAAGAACCCTTAATTCTGTAGAAGAGGTTGGCTCGGATGCTGTAAGCGGCTGATGCTGGGCTATTCTGCAAAATAAATAAGCTGCAAAGGAAAGAGCTGGAAGGAACCCTGGATGTCATTGTGCACTTGGAATACATCTGGATGTGGTGAAGCTCAAAGCTCTGCTGTTTTTTGGATGCAGTTAGGGAAGATGCTTCCTGTCTGCTTGCTCCACAGGTAGGTGGAACAGAAGCAGTAAGGGGTGTAACTTCTTGATGGTAGCTGAAGAGCTATTGTTTCAACAACACTGCGTTATTATGCTGGCACCTCTTCTGAATTTGTTATCTGATTCTTACTGTGCATTCTAAAGTTCATATATCAAGTTCTAAAGAAATGCATAGAAAATGGTTCAAGTACCTGACTTGCATTAGAAGTCAAGGCAAGGCAAGTTAGTCTCCTGTGTTTTTGAAAGCCTGCCACGAATTTTTAATAGCAATTTCTGTTTGTGTACAGAGGTGTTTTGCCATCCAGAACCTCCTTAAGTAGCAAAGCAGAATATAAGATTTTCAGCAATCCAGTCAAGCGCCCTTGTGGAAGGTGATGTCTTGTTTTCTTAATTTTGGTCTTTCTGGCCTCTGAGACCTTTGAACTGCTCATCTTCTTTTGAAACTCATTGCTTAGGGAAATAGGTCATCTCTTTCCTGTATTTCTTCTGATCGGTTTATAGGATCCGAAAATGTTTGATATTCATGGGTAGCTATCTTTCCTGGGTGCTCTTGTGGATTTGCATATTAGTGAATGATAAGAAAGCTCTTACATTGTAGCTCTGAGCAATTGCTCATGTCTTGATTTCACATCCACTGCTTCCTCCTGCGTTTTTGAAGCAAATGGCAGGCTCATATGTGGCTCTGTGGATAGCATGGTCTGAACAGCATAAGATTTTTTTTTTATACTTGTAAATATTTACCAAGACCGAGTCTTATTCCGAATTACTGGAAAAGTAATGGGTGTTGAGCTTGAGAGGTTGAGGGGTCTCACTTCGGTGGACAGTGGCATTTTCTTCACTTGAGGTTAAGCAAGATGAATTTAAACCTCAGTTGTAAAGGATGCATATAAATAGTCAAAGCTGTAGAAGGCTATAAAGAATGGGAAACTTCAAGTCTGGGACATAAGATATTAGAGAGGAAACTTTCCTGGGGAGCAAGTTATTTGGTTATTGCCTGCTGCAGATTTTCTTTCTCTGAAGCATCTAGTGCTAGCTGCTGCAGGGCCAGCACAAGTGAACCACACAAACCATGCATGTAAATCACTGCACTAATTCCTTTATAGTGACATATGTGAATTCCCTCAACGTTCATAGAATTCATGCACAGTTTACTGTAACTTCTGTTTGGCTGACTTGTGTATTAGTTGCAAAGATCTGGTGGCAGCTTGCTTCGATGTAGCAGAGCTGACATTAAAACTTGCTGGATGAGTTTTGTTAGTAGTGAAATTCTACAGCTCCAGCTCCTTGAAATGCTACCTTAGGGCCAATTTTACTGGTTCTGTTGTCTGACTTAACTGAAAACACTGCTTGTCCAAAGAACTCATGTTTGAAACAGATTCTCTTTCACTGCTTACTACAATATTTTTGTGGGTCTTTTGTCAAGTAATCTAACCACCTTCCTGTGAAGTGTTAAACAATCAAATAACAGATTACATTGTGTTTATCGATTCTGCCATCGCGTAGGTAAATGAACACGATGCCCTTGCAAGGTCTTTGCAAGCGCTGTTTTCTTTAACTGTTCAATGCAGTGAAAAGTATGTTTTAAAAGCTGTGTTATTCTTGAAAGTAATTCGTCATCGGAGAGCCAGGCAGTTCACAAACAGCAACAAAACCCTCAGCTGTTAAACAGTTCCTCGTGCTTGCAGTTTCTCTTCCCAGGGATTAGGGGAAAGCTAGCCTTTATGTGTCCAGCTGATCATCAGGTTTGGGCCATTTTAGATCAGCGGTACGTGTAAATGACTGTTCAACTTTTATGTCTTTTTAAATGAGTACCTGTCTGAAGTTCACCTTAAAGATAAGTAGGGGAGCTTGGTAGCATATCTGACGTTTAACCAGAGATCTATCGTGGTTGATGGAACTCGGCTGAAAACAGTATGGAAATTTTGATTCCGGGATTCAACAGCAAATGTCAATTGACCTTAGTTGTTGTGGTAGCAAAGTGTTGAGATCTCTAGGTGTGTGTCTGATAAGTCACAAAGTATTAATAGATTCTAGAAATTATGGATGAGATTTTCCATAGTTTGATGGAATGAGACGCTCAAGTCAGCGAGCAGATGAGTGCTTTACTCCTCAAGACTCATGTAAGGATCCCAGATTTAAACCCTGCAGACTGTAGGGCCAGAATCAATACAGAATATGAATATTGTATGTTTGAGGCAAGTAAAACCTACCTGTGGGCTTGGTATCCCTTGAAATCTGCCCCTAAAAGTTTCTGCGTGCCTTTCAAAGGGCATCAGGAGACAAAATCCATGGCAGCAGGCCAACTTGCAGCTGAGGCTGGTAATGAACAACAGTGTGAGAGTTTCTATTTGAGAAAAGAGGCATTAGATTTAGGAATGCTATTTGATCAGTGACTGAAAATTGGTGAGGGCAGCGGTGCCCCCCAAATTGGCAGTGACTTCAGTAAGAACGTGTTTACACACTGTGAAGGATGAGGGTTGCATTACAAGGAACGAACATATTCCTAGCTGCTTTTCTCTAAGCAGGTAGCTTGACTTCTGTCATGTTCTGGACATGCGACTTTGAACCAAGAGGGGCAGTTGGATAAGACAGAGAGGAAGGAAGGAAGGAAAGAATTTGCCTGACAGACAAACCGATGCATTCAAGGTTACATACAGAGTTGCTCCTATTTAAAAAAAAAAAAAAAAAAAAAAATCCATGGTAACTCCCTTCCTCTCAAACACACTTTATTTTTAAAAAGCCTTTCAGTTCCTTTTTATAGTGCATAGTGCTCCTACAAGAAAGAGTATCTGTTGAAAAATTACACTTTTATTAAACAGGTTACCTCTGGGTCTAATCTGCTGACTCTAATCAAAATGAGTTGTCCCTATGACTTGTTGCTATTACCTCTGTGCCATCAGTACTGCTTGGAGTGGGGGAGGCACACTTCTGCTCTTATCAAAGGAGTTAGTTTTTAAGTCTCAGTCTCTTGTTACCAAAAAATTTGCATGGGCACAACAGTGGGGGTCCTTGTATTGCTGTGACTCCCAGTTCTGAGGGTTAATGGCTTCTAGACATGGCTTTTGAGGCGAATTTTGCCTGTAGAGGATGATTTGAGTAACGTTGGCTCAACAGGGCAAAACAGATTCCACGTGTACAAACTGCCCTGTAGCACCAATTTAATATTGAGGGACTATTCCCTTAAGTATTATTCATCTTAAGTGCTTTTCTGGGCAGCAGGGATGAACCTGGCCTTTATCTTCCTGTGAGAAGGAAGGTGATGCCATATGGGTTATTAGTGGGAATGCCTCCTCTCCCAATTGCAGGGTTTACAAAAGGGAGTCCTTCATTTAATTTCATTCATAAAAGCCTCTTAAAGCATCTCTTGGTAGAAGAGCCTTCTTCCAATCCAAAGGAGACTGTAGCAAGACAGAGAGCCTCCTTTGACTATTTATATTTGCTTTCTCTGCTACTGCCTCCTCATGTCATCTGGGACAAAGGATTAATCTCTCTGATCCCTCTATTTCTAGTTGTAAAAGCACAGTGTGTTGCTGAGGGTGATTCATTGCTAGGCCAATCCCTGCTCTAATCCCTTGTAACTACAGAATTGTCAGTGGGAAGGGGGAGGCTAATGGGGAAAAATGTGGTGTATTCCTGTGTAAGCTGTATGTATGTGAGAAGGTGGGTGGATCGATACACAGGGAGTGTTGTAATACGGGGCTCTGCCATGCTTTCATAACATGGGCCGTGTTACAGCAATAAATTCTTGATTGCGTTGTCTTTTCCTATCTGAGTGTGTTCTTGTCCCCTTCTCTCCTGTTTCCCACGGCCTCTTTCACGAAGCCACTCCTAAGGGACTTGCACTGAACAACTTGGTTAACTCTGCTACAATGGAAAGTGAAAGTGCCTTTCCTGTTCTTAATAAGCCTGACGAAGTCTGAAACACCAGAGCAGCGTGAATAGCAATCGGTAATAGTTTACCCTAGGTGACAAGAGGGAGTGTAAAATACACAGGGGAGCAGGCCATCTCTTTGAGGGGGATAACAGGAGACTTTGATTTTCTTTCCTTTCTCATAAATGAAATGAGTGTTACTTGTAGTTCTGCATCCAAAAGGTTGTCTGTTTAAATGTGATGATTATTATAGCTTTCAGGGTCACTTTTCATATAGAATCTGCCTGCTGAATACAAACCGGAAATGCCAGGACTAGCAAGGACAGTTGTTTTCAGTGGTTCTTTTTCCCCTTTAGTTCACTTATATTTTGTGTAACTGTATGTTTAAATTGAAGCTGCTTTTGTAAAGGTGTATATGTATACACCTACAACTCCCAAAGAGGCGGAAAACTTGCAGATGAGCTGCTGCTCTTTCTCATCTAGAGCTGATTTTCAATGTGAGAGTTTTCTTGCTCCAAACAGCATAAACGCGTACAGACCTAAATGCTGTCTGGCTGCAGAAAGATCTGTTTAGCTCAAAAAGAAGAGGAAGTTCTTTGCAGCTAAAGGTTTGTAGTGAGAGACAGGAAATCTGAGTCGTGCTCCTGCTTCTGACTGGTATGCTCTGGATTCAGTTGTTACACCTATGTATATCTTAGTTCCTGTAATTCAGTTGTCATCTGTCTCACATGGTCATTGCGAGGTTCTTGGGGCTTTTAGCCTGCTTTCCAACAGGAAGCACGCTTATGCAATCACACTAACTTCTGAACTTGTTGGCTAAATGTCAAATATTTGCTGGAATGGTAGAGGTCACAGGAAGAAGGGAATGTAAATTGCAATGTCATGAGCATAGAGGGAGACAGTCTGTGCTGCAGCCTCACCCTGCATTGAAGCCCGTAGAGATCACACATTTTTAGACACAGGATAATTCACACGGGTGAGTGACCCCTATGAACACTGCAGACACAGGATGCCGAACTGTAAAGTATCAGACTATGCTAATCCTCCTGCACGTTGGATGGCTGTATTTGCAAAGCATTCTGAGAACCTAGGGGAAAATGATAAGTGTTGTTACTAAATTGGAATTGGCATGGTACAGCAGGCTCTTAACAAAATTAATGTTTGATAAAATAAGGGGGTTGGGGGAGGAGAGATTCAGCTGTAAAATTACAGGAATCTTGTCAGGTTGGCTTGATCTTACGAGTTAATAAAAAGAAGTAACATCTTTTAATCAAAGACAGAAGGGGAATTTAACTTCGCTCTTGGCATATCAAAGCAGAAGCCAATAAAAATGAGATCACATTTCAGCCTTCTGAATGCCTAGTGTTCTTACGCAATGTGTTAACACGTTGCATTGAAATATCTCATTGCTTTTGGGCACAAAACCTCTGAATAAATGTCTCTTAGCAGTTCCTTTGCATGAGAAATGTTTTCTTCTCTGATTCTCGTGACAGCAGCGTTCAGCTATTTTGTACCCTTCATCCTAGGGTCAGAACTGACAGGGGAGGAAAACCTGTCTGACAGAGACCCCTGAGGTTAACATAGTCTTTGAAACCTTGTTTAAATATTCACCAAGTTGCTTTCATTATAAAATTGAGGCTTGAAAGCTCTCTGTGTTGTGCTGTACAAGCTGCTACATGCTTTGGCAGGTGGGTGAGAAAGAGCCCTGCTCTGATACACCTGAGGAGCTCTGCAGCTCCCAAGGCTTTTTAGAGACGAGATACTTTTTCGTGGGCTTTCCTGGAAGTGCAGAAAAACTGCATTGTGAGGTTTTCCAGGCAAATTGCTGAGAAGATAGGGCTTACAAGAGACTCTTGTATTTTCCAAGTGGCAAAAAGTTCAGAATAGCATGCTGCAACTCCTCTTTGACTTTCTCTGATCCTTTCTTAAATGAGGAAGCACACAGCTTTGTTTCTGGCTAGGCAGTGCAAGTGACAGACTAGAACTGCAACTTTGAAGCTCTGTGGCCAATGCAGCAAGAAATGGTGGGGCATGGCAGCATCTCTTCCGCTTACCTGTGCGCCACATGCAGCTGACTGTCCTGATCTGTACTTTGCTGTCTGTTGATGATTTTCTTCTCTCTAGGATCTGACACTCCCATGGACTGCTTTTAGTGTCCTGGGGATCCGGAATGGCTCGTATCTGCACAAAAGGCCTAGGCTTTTATCTGCTAGTGGTGTTGATATCAAGTTCGCCAAATACAGCATTTTCCCCACAGAGCAGGGGCCCCAACTCCTTTGGGGATGAACGCCTTATTTGATTCAAGACAAGATTTCTCACTCGCTTTCCTATATTCAGCAGTACCCTGGCAAGAAGCAAGCATAGCACTGTGTGGTCCAGCTATCTGGGAGCCTGACTACTAAGAAACTGAGTCAGGATCAGTTCCTTATATAGAAAGGGAATTGGATACATCGTGCATTTTACTCTTGGCTGTGATCTTCCATTGTGCGTCTGTTAGACGTTTGTCATGGTTGCTTGCTTTCTCTGTGTACTTGAGCTCCAGTTGTCAGCTGGGACACGTTACCCATCTTTGAATGCCTACTAGGAAGTTTTCCAGTCTGCATGTTCTCACTGTGCAGTAATACAGGTGTTTTGCATAGGTTTGGTAGGCCTATGATGCCCTGAAAGCATCCTGCTAGTTATAGACTGCTTGTCAGCTGCTTTTTCAGTCTGCCATAGCTGCTGTATTTAGGCTCTTGAGTTTTTCAGACCTGCATGGGTTTGGCTCAGCCCACCCTGCCTGGCTGTCTCTGGTGCAGAGGCTGTGGGAGAAAGTTGCAGGGAGGAAAGTTGTGCTCTAGGGTGGATGCTCTGCTCAGAGGAGTCACGTTTCCCAATTGCAGTGTGGTGCTGTAGTATCTCTCTTTCCATGCGACCCCACAAATCATACGCTGTTTCTTTGTCGCACAGTTTGACCTGACGTTGCTGCTTGTGTGAATAAGGGAAGAAGAAACTCTGAGTGCTGGTGATCTGGACTCTGGCTGTGCTACTTTGAGCCATAGTCTATGTGTTCGTGGACAGGTCTCTTCACAAATGCCTGAGAGTGACATCTGAGCCAGGCAATTTGGGGAATTTGATAAGATGAGGAAACTGTTGGTTTAAAGGCTCAAAGTAGTTCTCGTCAGCAGGGTACAGAGTAGAAAGCAGCCTGACTGTATGCAGCGTGTTCCTCCAAGGCCAGTAACCTGGACATACAGAAGCACAGACCTGCTTTTCTGAGATGCTGTTTATCCACGGTGTTCAGCTGCCCCTGTAAGTCAAGAAGGACTGGCAAGTTCCCGAGCTGAGCTTGCTTTCTTCTGTGTGCCTTTTCTTCTTTACTGGAATGTGCCAAAAAAAAAAGGAAAATCATTGGCAGGCTTAGTCATGCTTGCGTGCTGTCGCTTTAACCTAATGAACGATATAAGTGCAGTATACTATCACTAGGCCTCCTGTGACCCCTTCTATAAAAGATGCCACTGCAGTGTGACAGCTCTCAGAGGGGTAGGTTACTCAGGTTTGTAACTGTCTTCATCGGTGATGTGTGAAGAAGGCTGTGCCTTTCCAGACCTTTTTATCTCCCATTGCTGTTCTTTCTAGGCTTTGAGCAAGAAACCTGGAGCTCTTAAGAAGTCTCTTCTCAGCTGAATGATTTCTGCTTTTTCTTTTCCCCAGAAAGATGACTGGTAGGTGATGGCACTGGAAGAGTGAGACTCTAAATGTTGCATTGGAAGTTGGTGCATAAAACGGAGCCTTAGGAAAGGCAGTGACTAATTTATAACTGTGACTCTTGCTCAGTCAGAAGCTTGCTAAAAATAAACTACCTTCTAATGCCACAGTTGACCTCAAATTAGAGAAGTATTCTAATCTATAACCTGCAAAATGGGCAAGATCAGAGATTGCAGTGGTATCTCTGTTTTGTCAGCCAGGAAAGTGGGGACAGAATCAGTATTTGGAAAGGGGAGATTAGGTGCTATAAGGGTGGTGGTACTGACTTTGCACTGTGTTCATGCTTATTCCTTGCCCCAGCTAGATGCTCTAAGGTGCTATTTTGCCCGCAGAGAAGATGCCTTCCTTGTAAGAATTTGTCCTGGAGAAAAAATTTATTTCCTTTAATTAAACAAAAAAAAAAAAAAACAAAACAGAGCAAACAAACTTCTACTAATGTTATATGACCATGGTATCTTTCTTCGTTTCCTGCTTCTTTTTGGTTTAGTTTCTAAATTAGGTTGTTTTTATACTCTGTAATGTTGCAATGAGAAATCAGCTGACCTTGTTGCACTATGAAACTTCTATTAACTTTGCAGGAATTGCAGACATTGTGAAATTGTGCCAAATCACTCCTTAGAGGATGGTAATGAGAGCTTGTGGAAAAAACAGCAGCCTAGGAGCTTTTGGCATTGCCAGGTAATACCATTCACTGAATAGCATGTGTCCCTGTAAAATAAAGTGTAACCTTCTCCAGGACCAATATTTTATGCCTCATTCGGAGAGAGAACACAGCTAACACAGAACTATGCTAAACACCAGGTCACTTGTGGCACGAAGGGGATAGTGTCTCTTCCTAAGCCCAAATGCTGCTTCCTTAGAACCCAGAGCCTGCAGTAAAGTGACCCGATCCTCCAAGGAGAAAGCAGCAGTGTTTTGCTCACTCATGGATTCCTGTCACTTCAGAAATAAGTCTGCATATCTTTCATATTTAAGTGCTTTATGACCATCTTGGTAGTATACAACCCACGTGTGGGAGCTTCTACCAAAGATGGGACTGTCTGTGGGGTGGAACATGCCAACTGCTTTTAAGCATGCAGGAAAAGAAAACTGAGAAGATTTTTGTCTTGATTCCTAACATCATCTCTTGTGTTTGAAATGAGTTGATTTCTTTTTTTCAGTTTAAAAAAAAAAAACAAAACAACAAACTTATTTGTCTTTTAAAAATGATTAGTAGAGAAATACGTCCTTATTTCTCTGTTAGCCTAATTCAGCAGGCATTCATATGATTTTTCTGTAAGAATCTTTAATCTACTCTTTGGGAGAGCAAATGTGCCTGGTTATTATTGTAATTGTGACTACTTAGGCAAGGAAATCAGGTAGTTATAAAGTATAGATCCTGGAAAATGTGAGGGAGTGTAGATGGCATTCTGTGTGGTTTTTTTTTTTTATTTTTGTTTTTGCCTTACTGCAGTTTGCTTGAATGCAGTTGATGTAAAATTCTGATGTGATCTCAGCGAGTTAAACTTTCCCCACTTTCCACAGTATGTTTTACTCTGAGACTGATGAAATTTTGGCTAAAAAATTATGACCTTTTTCTTCTTGCCTTCAATTATCTAGTAGTTAGAAACTGCTGTTCCTTCCATTTTTTTGTCCTCATGAATGTTTCAGGTTTATAATAGTGTTCATGTGAACCAGAATTGTATGGGCCTTATTTAGCACACTTGGCTCACTCTCTGGCTCCTGTCTAAACTAATTTAAAGCAAAGTGTATCTATTATGGGAGAAGGCAGAAAAGCCCCTTCTAAATGTGATAGGGTTGAAAAATGTGACATGTCAATTGGTATGAGTGATGTCGTCATGATCCTGAATTTTATTTTAAGCCTTTTCCTGCTCAGACAACTTCCCATATTGACTTCCTCCACTTGCCCTGTGGATCTACAACAGCCTCCAAGAATCCACTGCACCATACTGCCCTGCCTATTACCAATGCCCTTCTAAACCCTGTTTTTTTCTGACAGCCTGCTGCTCTCTAATGGTCTGGGTTCCTCCATACCTTTACTGGATGGAGTAACTTGGGTGAGGAGCCCTGGGCTTAATTTACGAAGTTCTGTTTGTGCACAGCTGATGGATGTCATTGCTTGAAGTATTTCCTTGAGGAAAAGCCTGAAGTCATTTAAGCAGTAAGGCAGTGGAGCGCTGTGAGTCAGCTTCTTCCCAAGCAACAAGAAACAGACCTGGGCAATTCTGAATAGGTGCCATTTTGCTGTACCTGGACACTGCACTCTTTCTTAGCAGGCCCCTGGAGCTGGCTGTGGTTGACTGACAATGAGCTGCTAGTGGCTCACAAGCCAACTTTAGAAATTCTGTTTTAGTTCTAGTGATAGAAAGATACAGTGGATTTTTTTATAGAATTGCTGCAAAGCTTTTAAGAGCATAGGAATGGATTGGCAGAGTTTTGTGCTGTTTCTCAAAACTTCTTGTGTCTTAAACATTTGTATCTGTCACAATCGGCTTGTTAGTTTTATGGCTGCGTTTGGGAGCTTTTGATCCTTCTGTGAAGTCTTTGGCACTCCATCTGGGTTAGCAGTGTCTTTGAGTAACATCACTTGCTTTTGTTATGTTGCTCAAAACGAAGGGACTGCTATCTAGATGGGATAGAAAGGACTAATGCTCAATTGCTGGAAAGAGAACAAGAAGGACAAAGGGTGAGGAAGTAACCACTGGACACTAGCCTTCTTGTAAGTGTAAGAAGGCAGTGATGTAAAAGAATCCACAGTTGTGTATTCATCTCATGATTGCAGCTACTGGGCTATTTTAGGTACCGTGGAGATGAATGGCCCTTTATAGACCATAGTAAGGAATGCCTTGTCTGTGGGTCACAGTCGTGTCATATCAGTTGCCTCTTTTCTGATGGCAGAGAGCAGGCGTGGGGAGAGGACACACAGAACAGGCAGACGTTTCAGCGCGCTCGCGTGAACGAACAACGCGCTACTCAAAGGAAATGGTTTGTGCTGACGCTTCTCTGCTGCCAGGACGTGCTGGTGTCAGCACTCACATGGGGAGCTGGGATGAGGGAAGCCAGGCTGTTTGTCAGCCCTCTCAGATCAGTTGCCTGGACTTTAAACTACACCAGAGACACTTGAGATATGAAGAGAGCACAAAGACTTTAATCCTGCAACGTACACAAATGGTACAGCTGCAGCTGTATTGCCTTGTTCCAGCGCTGCAGGGGAATTAATTCTGTTCACGGACCTGGACTTTCTAGGCTTTATACAGTTTACTTTTTAATGATAATGCTGCGTCACAGATTTTTAAACTCTTCATAGCATAATTTTATTGTTGAAGTTGATGAGAAATACCCCATCTGTTTCTTAACTGTGTCAAATCAAGAATCTAGCAATTGCTGCTGACCACAGCAATTGCTTATGCAGGTGTGAAACTGAAGGAATGATTAATATATCTACTGCTATTATTACTCATCTTACTGCAGCACTTTAGTCTGTGATCTTGTTTGGGCTGTGTACTGTATATTACCACAGTAAGGAACAATACCACCCCCATAGAAGAGATCTGCATGGATGAAACATGCTGAAGGTGGGGAGGTGGAAGTATTGTTATCCTTCCATCATACAGAAGTGACTAAAGCGGAGAACTTAAGTGATAGGACTTACTAAACCACAACCAGCAAGCACATGTCTATATTGGTGATATTTGGAGGGGGGGAAAAAAAAAGTTAAAGGTAGATATTTATGTTCAAGGGACTGTGGACCCACAGAGCTGAGTATTCTTTTGGAGTGGGAGTTCTCCCACAGCTCTCAGTACTGGCCCGTCCCGTGCTGTTCTTTGGAAATGAGGTTTCTTTACTGGATGTTGTCAACCTATAGAGAAGGTATCAGCATGGAAAAAGCTGAAAACTATGAAAGTGTAAAGTAGACATATGATGCCTGAATATGATTTCTGGTAAAAAGCTCTTGCTTAAAAATGGTGCTGTCTC